TCCGGCCCGGGGGCGTTGAGGGGGCGGGGCCGCACGCACGCACTTCGAGCCCGCCAGCCCCGCGCTGCTCAGCGAAAGTGGGGAGCGGGGGGCGCTGTGCCGGCAGCGTCCCCGCGGGGCCACAGCCCAGCTCGGCCGGCTTTCCGCGGAACCCGAGTCAGCGCGCTCGCGCAGTGACACGGAACCTAACTGAGCCCCGGCTGGGGAACGGCTGGAGTCTGCTGCAGACGTCCGAGGGATGTGTGCCAGGTTGAGAGCCCAGCTGGGACTCAGCCTCTAAATCATCTTCAGAGACAGAGAGACAGAGACAAAGACACAGAGTGAGAGGGACTGTGTGTGTTTAAGACGGTGTCTAGCTTTGTAGCCCAAGCTGGCCTTGAACTGGGTAATCCTCCTGCCTCAGCCTCCCGAAAGCTGAAAGCTGGGATTATAGGCGTGCGCCACACCTGGCTTTTTTTCTTTTTCCTTTTTTTGTTTGAGACAGGGCTTGCTATGTAGTGCAGGCTGGCTTTGAGCTCACTTATGTAGCCCAGACTGGCCTCCATCTCAGAGCGATCCTCCTTCTTCAACCTCCCAAGTGCTGGGATTACAGGCATGTGCCACTATGCCTGGCTAGCAGTATCTGTCATCAGAACTAAAGATCACACAATTAAGATCGTAGCGTCAGTAGCTATGGACATATAGGGACCTTAGATACTAAGCTAACTCCCTCAGCTCACAGAAGAACCCTAGGACCAGGGAGATAAAGGAAATTGCCCAAGGTAAGGAAGCGCTACTCCTCGGAGCTATTGGGTGAGAAACTGTCTGGCCAGGGGCAGCTGCCCGAGGCCCGGAACTCCACCTCTGCACCATGCTGCGCATGCCTTCCTGGGCCTGTGTTTCCCTCAGATTCACTGTGCACCCCGCTTCTGGACCTTGACAGTTTGTCTGGAGGTCCTAGCAGGGGAGAGCAGCTGCTGGTATACCCTAAACCGAGGAATGCCCTCCTGCGTGGGGTGGTGGTCCTCAGCTCCGGGAGGGACCTGGGGAGCGGTGAGGGAGGAAGGAGACACCCGCCAGCCAGCCAGGTCTGCCGAGTCAACCCTGGCGATCAGTGGGGTGACAGATATCACAGCCAGATCACCCTCACAGCCTCAGCAGCCACACCCGGCAAGGTCAGTTCTTCACGGAGGAAGCTCTTCCTCTTCTGAGCTCCGAGGGGCTCAAACAGAGCGTGTACCACCGGCAGGCATCGGACTGCTGTGATTTCCCGATACTCTGCCTGCTTTATAATTAGCACTTCATTAAACTCTTCTGAATTATCCTGTGTTCTCCATTTCCACTGAACCATAACCAAAGAGATCTTTATTACACAAAGCTCTCTCTTGCACTGGGAATTAAACCCAAGGCCTTTACACTGAGCTACATCCCCAGCCCGTTTAAAAGAACGTTTTATTTTGAGGCAGGGTCTTGGTAAATCCTTAAATTGCCCAGGTTGGGCTTGAATTTATGATCCTCTTGCTTCAGCCTCCCAGAACGCTGGCATTACAGGTGTGGACCACTGTGCCTGGCTACAATCCCTATTCTCTAGAAGTTTAAATTACAGCATTAAAGAAGCCCAGTCAGCAAGGGGGCGTGCAGAGAGATAAGGAAGGGCTGTAGGGAATCCCACAGCGAGGCGGTCTCCCGATGCAGCTCAGTGACCCCCCAGCCTCCGGCTGCAGAGATATAAAGTTGTACAGAGGACCTACTATTGAGTCCTAATGTGGGCCACTCCATAATGGCAATACTTAATTGATGAGATTAAGTATTTTTAAAAGCCAGCATGTGGCTGGGAATGTACCTCATGGGAGTGCTTGCTAGCATGTACAAGGCCCTGGTTTTGATTCCCAACCCTTAAAAAAAATTTTAAAAAATGAAACCAACAACAGAAATTTAAAAATCCTACAAACTAGCTGGGTATGGTAGTATACCTCTGTAATCAGGAGACTGAGGCAGGAGGATTGCCAGGAGTTCCAGGTTGGCCAGCCTGGGTTACATAGCAAGACTGTCTCAAAAAACCAAAACAAACATCATAAAAAAATCCCATGAGCTGCTTGGCAAAGTTTATGATATTTCTGTTATGTCAAAGTTTCCCAAACTTAAGAATAACTCACATGCAGAAAAGAATACAAAGCTAATGAACTTTTTAAAAAAGTTGCAATGATATGTACACAGCATGAAACTCTTAAAGAGCACAATACACAGCAGGCATGGTGGCACACACTTGTACTCTCAGCGCTTGGGAGGCTGAGGCAGTAGGATTACCCAAGCTCAAGGCCAGCCTGGGCTACATAGAGTGTTCAAGGCAAGCCTGGAATACATAGCGAGAACCTGTTTCAAAAAAAACCGAAACGAGTAATACAGTGGCATTTAGTACATCTGCCATGTGTATAACACCTACTTCTAGCTAGTTTCAAAACATTCCCATCACCCATAAGCAAACTTTGGTCCCCTTAAGCAGTCCACGCTCCAGCTTCTGGCAAGCATCAGTCCCTTGTCTCTCTGGCTCACCCATCCTTGGTGTTTTGTAAGCGGAACTACGTAGCATATGTCCATCTGCATCTGGCTTTGTTCGCTCAGCAAAGTTTTGAGGTTCATCCTCAAACGCTGCAGCCTGTTTCAGTACTTCATCGCTTTTTATGGCTGAAAAAGTCTAGTGGGTGGATCTATCCTAGCTATTTACACACCCTTGGTGAACTTGTGCATTGTTCCCATGTTTCCCAAGCTATTGTGAAAAGTAATGATACAATATTCATGTCCACTACTTTAAACTTTTCAGTTCTTCTCTGTATCTACGGAGAAGCAAAACTGCGTGGCCATATGGTACTCCTACGCTTAACTTTTTATTTATTATTAGTATTTTTGGGTTTTTTGAGACAGGTTCTCACTATGCAGTTCAGGCTGCCCTTGAGCTCACTTTGTGGCCCAAGCTGGTCTCGAACTCCAAACGATCCTCCTGCCTCAGCCTCCCGAGTGCTGGGGTTACAGGTGTGTGCCACCATGCCCAGCTCACTTCTGGGGCTTGAACCTAATACCTTTATAGTGAGCTATACCCCCAGCCCTTTATTTTTTTGAGGGAGTGTCTTGCTAAGTTGCTTAGTCTAGGATTCACCTTTCTCTGCCTTCCAAGTAGCTGGGATTATAGGCAAACACCACTGCACTCAGCTCATAATTTTAAAAAACAAGTTTATGCCTCAAGAGGAGACATTAAAACAAAAACTGGGGGCTGGCGATTTAACTCAGCGGCAAAGTGCCTGCCTGGCAAGCGCAAGGTCGTGAGTTCGGTTCCTGGTACCAGAGAAAAACCAAAAAAAAAAAAAAAACAACAACAAAAACTGCACCACACCATAAGGCACAGAGTGAATATTTATTTCTGACAACGATCACGCTGAAGCTCAGTTTTATAAATACTGTGGAAGTAGGTCAGAAAAGTGGCAATTTACTCAACGTCAAAGCTGAAGGATGGTTCCAACCAGGTGAGTAGGAGGGAAGAAAGCATTTCGTAGCATCCCGTAGCATCCACAACCCTCACATCTACTCATCCCACGCATCCCCTCAAGCTCCTGTTGCCAAAGCTCTATCTTTTGAGGATGAGTCTGAACCCAGTGAGGAGAGGGATGACTTCCAGTGCAGGCGCCAGGGAGCGCAGGGAGCAGTAACACGGGGCAGCAGTCTGGCTAGAGGGGAGCAGCGCTTAACACAGCCCAGCATCAGACCAACCCCCTTTTTTTCTTTTCTGGATGGTACCTAGGCTAGAACCCAGGGATCCTAAGTACTAGGGAAGACTTACCACCAAGCTACAGCCCCAGCCCAGGATTAGCCAGTCTTATAATGGCCATTTCATTGTGCTGCACTAGGGACTGGGTCTGCGGCCTTTGCATTGAGCTATATCCAAGCCCTTTTAAAAAATGTATTTTGAGGTCACTCATGGTGGCGCACAGCTGTAATCCCAGCATTTTGGAGGCTGAGGCAGGAGGACTGCTGTGAGTTTGAGGCCAGCCTAGACTACATAATGAGTTCAAAGCCAGTCTGAACTACATAGAGAGACCCTGTCTCAAAAACTTAAAAAAAACGAACAAACAAAAAAACCTTAAACATTTTTTTTGTTGTGCGACAGGGTCTCGTTAAGTCACTTAGGGTTGTGCTCAACCTTGCAGTCTTCCTGCCTCAGCCTCCCCGAATACCGGCATTACAGGTGTGCGCCACCACACCTAACAGTTATGGCTGTTTTAGAACATCTGTGGCTCTAAACTTTCCTGCCTTTCTGTTTTCCCAGAAAGCCTCAGGTCCCGCCCCATTCGAGCACAAGCCATATCTGCACACCATGCTCTTATAAAGCCCTGAGCTCCTCTAACGCAGCTGTGTTCTGACAGGGGAGGGAGGAGTGTGCTGGCATCTTCAAGTGGATGAAGGTTCCCGAGCGGAGAGGACGAAGGCCTCGGGCCTGACCTCCTGCTTCAGTACCCCCGTCAGCAGGAACTCTGGGGACAGGAGGGGCAGACCGGCCCGGGATGCAGAGGAGCAGCGCGGCAAGTCCTGGGGGCAGGTGATCACCACTCTCTGGGGCTGGGGAGACAGTGCACAGAGGAAACCTGGGGTGAAGGGGTCCTAGAAAACTGACTCAGGCCTAGTGATCAGTCTCAGTACTGCCCAAGGCTAAGCCACATGAAGCACACTGCACAGTCTATGAGTTGTTCTTGCCAGAAAAGCTGAACCAGAATGCATTGTCGCTCTTAAAATTAGCCAGGTGTGGTGGCGCACACCTTGTAATCCCAGCATTCAGGAGGCTGAGGCAGGAGGATCACTGTCAGTTCAAGGCCAGCTAGGGGTACAGAGTGAATTCAAGGCCAGCCTGCACTGCATATCGAGACTGTCTAAAAAAAAAAAAAAGGGATGACTAGGGCTTTGCTCCACAGTAAAAGGTGTAGGAGACACTCGAAATACAGCAATGCATGGGCTTTATGGAAGTTCTGTTTTTCTTTTCCTTTTTAGACAGGATCTCACTCTAGCTCAGGCTGGCCTAAAACTCATGATTTTCCTGCTTTAGCCTCTCAGGTGCTGTTGAGATTATAGGCTTGAGCCATCGTGCCTAGCAGTAGCTTGTATTTTCCCTCACTCTTTTATCATTCCGGGCATCTCTCTAGGTGCCCCTCAATGGCCCTGGATGCCAGCCATACCTTATAGGAGCGGGGCATGCTGGGTAGGACGGTGCCTCCACAGCAGCTGACGATCTCTCCCATCTGCAGTGGCGGGGGCTGGACCCCAGGGGTCACGTGAATCTCGTAGCCCTAAGGGAGTCACGGGATGGGTGACTGCACTGGAGGCCGGCACTGGAGACCACTAGGGCGGGTGCAGTGGGCAGCAGATGGGCTCTACCTCCAGCAGTCTTCGCTCCCGAGCCCGGCTCAGGGCATCGCGGAGGCTGAAGCCAAAGTTCCTCTCCTGCTCGGGATCGGTCACCACAAACTGATCCGGGGGCAGGAAGTGACCAGCCTTGTGGGACTGAGGAAGGTCAGCAGTCAGCACCAGGGTTCAGGCCACCCCACCTAGTGCTGCTGCCTGGCACTTACAGAGCACTGTCACACACAACCTTTTCATGGACTGGGCCTCACTAACCACCACCCCCTTTCCTCCTACTGTGGGGGGCGGGGTCTCTCACCTGCTGCAGCCACGCCAGGGAGAGGACGGGGATGCCCTTCCCCAGGGCACACAGGAACTTGACTGTTCGGCGGATGCGATCAGTGACCAGGTGGGAGGCCTCTGCCACCGAGCTGGCCAGACTGCCCCCCAGGGCTAGCACGGCCTGCTCCCCACGGGCATCTAGGACTCCCGTGAAGAGAACCTGGCAGGGTTGGCCTGCACTGTCACGAAACCCTGGCCACAGTGCAGACCCGCTCTGCCTCCCCCCAGCCTCCCGGAGTTGTGGGCCCCTCCCCTACTTTGGGTGCTGCTGACTGCAGGGTAGGTTTGGGCCTTCGGAGTCCACGCTTCGGCACTTCCTGGGGCTCCTCCTCCATCTGGGTCCTCTTCCTCTTGCCTGGCCCTGGAATCCCCACATCCTAGGAGGGAGAAACACCTTGGCAGGAGCCTCTGGGCCCTGAGGCTCCCGCTCCCAGTGTGGCCCAGTCCTCTCACCTCTGCTTTCTCTGGCCTCTCTGCAGTATCGTCTTCCTCATTTTTGGGGAGCACTGTCTTCTGGGAAGCTTCTCTCTGGGGTTGCTTTGGAAGAGGGGGTGGATCTGTGCTGCGGGAAGGCCTCTTGCGCCGTAGAGAGGCTGCAGGCTGGAGCTCTCGGGTGGATCCAGAGCTGTCTACTGCCTCCACCTTTGGGATTTGGGGAGCATGAGTGGGTGCCTCAGGAAGCGGGGAAAAGGAAGGGTCAGGGATGGTCCCAAGGGATGCAGCTGCTCTTCGTCGGCCCGCTCTCTGGTCCCCTGAGGCTCGGTCTTGAGGTTCAGAGCACGGCTGATGGACAATGGGAGCTGTGCGGGAGCCACGCTTCCCAGCAGCCCTCTGTCTCCTGCTGCAGCAGGCCTGAGGGTCAGGTTCCTGGGGAACAGTCCGGTCTGTGGTGACAGGGGGCTGGGACTCGGAGGCCACCCAGTCCTCAGCTACGGTCTCAGTTTTGACAGGCTGGGCTGTGACAGTGGGAGGCTTGAGCTCAGTGGCTGATGGTTCAACTGATTTAACAGTCTCACTGGAGGACCTACACGTCCTGCTCCGTGTGGCCTGAGGCGTGGTCTTGGGGACGACAGGCTGGTGTGTGGAGGTGGACGGCTGTAGCTCAAGGGCTGCTGGGTCAGCCACTTCAGAGGTCTTGACAGAAGACCTATTCACCCTGCTTCGAGTGGCCCGAGGTACAGGCTCTCGGGTGTCAGGCTGGTGTGTGGAGGTGGACGGCTGCAGCTCGGGGGCTGCCGA